CGGGATCGGGCAGTGTTTCGTTCTGCTGTGCATGGGGTCGCTGAGTCAGAAACGACTCGACGGCACTTAACAACAACAACAACAATTTTATTCTAAGTTTCATAATAAATATGAAAACTTTAAGGGACTGAACAGTCCATCCCTAAGAACAGGTTACTAGAGCAATGCTATCATTTGTCCATGCAAACCCATGCCTAGAGATGGCCACGCACTGCAAATCTGATGGATAAAAAAATAACCAACAGTCCAAAAGCTTCCCCTGAGAACATTCTCCACCATTTATCTACTTTCTTTTCCCAATATATTTAAATTCTTCAGTGTCTTTTATATAATATATAAGATCATAGGTAACGTTTGTGTTTTGACCGCTTTCCAACAATGATGGTGAATAAATTTGGCTGTGGTCTCATATTGACAGGTCCTGGGCTGGGAAGCTAACTGCCTGGGCTCAGGGTGCTGTGTTTTAGAAGCAGGCAGAGACGAGCACCATAAAATTTACCCTCGAGACTGTCACACACGCAGAATTTAAGAGGTGGTAGGGTCCAGAGGGATTGTTTTGGGCAATTCTTCCACTCTGTAGGCTTCTAAAAGTCATGTGATTGTTTTATTTTTAAAGGGCACATGCCATATTTGTGAACAACCTGTGCCTCCAAACAGGTCCACTTAGCTCTTTCTAACACATCAGAAGCTTCCCAGGAATGTGCTGGGAAAACCAGTCTTGTCAGCAGAATCCTGTCCGTGGCAAAGCTCAGCCTATGGCCATGAGAAGTTAACTTTTGTGATATGATTAATATTTCTACTTTAGATAAGAACTGGAAGAGACACTGAGAGTAACTGTGGGCCTGTCACTCTGGCTACTTGCATACCATGTTAAAAATCAGTGGAAATGTCCACTGTTGATCTTAGGGAGAACACCATGGGAAGACTTAAGTTTCTCAGCTCCTACTGTAACCAAAACAACTGAACCAAATGCAGACCCATATGCCTGGGCCCTGCCCATTCACAAAGCATACAAGCCAGAGACCACTGGACCCAGGCTCAAAGACTGCAGGTCACAGTCAGGTTTTCCAGCACCATTTCTCTCTACCAGCTTACTCCTCCCAAGATGCTTAGGCCTGCCTGTTACTTCTTGCACTGCTCTAAGGGCTTCTAAACTTGATCATCCTTCTTAGACTTGTGGATATTCCCTGTTTTCCAAATGATTCTCAACCCTCAGTATTTGCTAGATTTCTCCTGTTTCCTGATACTGACATCTCTTAGCCAACACCATTCCATTGCTACAGTGTTAAGATTATGTCACTACTGTGTGGAGTTGGCTTAGATAGCTCATGATTACAACTACTTTAAATGAACACTTCAAGTTCTGCAGTCAAAACAGAGATGGCCAATAAACATGAGTTCTTGGGAGAGAATATATATGTTAGACGGATACTGGCTTAAAGCAAAGAATATCAGAATACTTGTGTTTCACTGACTAAAAAAACACATTTGACTGTGTGCATCATACCAAATTATGGGTAACACTGAGAAGAAAGGGAATTCCAGAACACTTAATTGTGCTCATGAGGAACCTGTACATAGACCAAGAGGCAGTTGTTCAGAAAAAGCAAGGGGATACTACATGGTTTAAAATCAGGAAAAGTGTGTGTCAAGGGCATCCTTTCACCTTATTTATTCAAACTGTATGCTGAGCAAATAATCCAAGAACATGGACCATATGAAGAAGAAGTGGCATCAGGATTGGAAGAAGGCTCATTAACAGCCTGTGATACACATATGACATAACCTTGCTTGCTGAAGTGAAGAGGACTTGAAGCACTTACTTATGAATATCAAAGACTAAAGCCATCCTATGGATTATACTTCAACATACAGAAAACAAAAATTCTCAAACTGCACCAATAAGTAACATCATGATAAACAGAAAAGACTGAAGTTGTTAAGCATTTCATTTTACTTGAATCCATAATCAACACCCATGGAAGCAGCAGTCAAGAAGTCAGACATATTGCATTGGTCAAATCTGCTGCAAAAGCCCTCTTTAAAGTGTTAAAAAGCAAAGATGTCACTTGGAGGACTAAGGTGAACCTGATTCAGGCTATGGTATTTTCAATTATCTCATATGCACGTGAAAGCTGGACAGTGAATTAGGAAGACAGAAGAATGGACGCATTTGAAGTACGGTGTTGGTGAAAATTATTGAATATATTGAGTATTAAATCTGTCTCACATACTTTGGACATGTTATCAGGGGGACCAATCCCTGGAGAAGGACATATTTGGTAAATAGTGGCCAGTGAAAAAGAGGAAGATCCTTAATGAGATGAACTGGCCCAGTGTCTGCAACAAAAGACTCAAACACAGCGATGATTCGGAGGATGGTGCAGATCAGATAGTATTGTTCTGTTGTACCCAGGGTCACTAGGAGCCAGCACAGACTTGAAGCACTAACAACAACTTTTACACACCCACTCCCATACATATAAATTCATCTGATACTTATAAAAATGCTTCACAGGTTTTAAAATTTTAATTATGTAAGTAGTAGGTTATATTAATTCATTCTTTTAAGAAAATACAGAAAATGTTTAAGTTTCCCATGACTACATCTGTACTCTGGCTTTCTCTCTGCCACAATCACAGTCTGATGTGTGTGCCCAGTGGCTCCGTATGCAGCCTCCACTTTCCACCCTTACCCACCCTACTCTCTGCCCTCTGGGCCTGGGGCAGTAACTAGAGATGGCACCATGCCCTTGTAGCTCCCCTACATGCACCCACACCTCTGACACCCTCCTCTAATTATCTGGTTTAAATGTGCCATCTGTCTGCTTTTGGGACTCTGACTCAGTGCATATCACAGCAAATTTATGTTTATTTAAATGGTAAAATAAAATACTGCTTAATAATGGAGAGCAAAACACATTATATACTTTTAAACTGTTATCGTGATTAGTTCATGTGAAGCTGTCAAATGACAGACAGCAGATGTTGATGGCTGTGGATTCTCTACATTTGAAACGAGTCAGGTCTGTCCTTCCTCTAAGCACCTGTGCTCCTCCAGCCGGCTGCAGGCACTGACCTCTCGATTTTCTGAATGATAGGGCAACCTGCGCATCACTGCATCCAGCTCATCAAACTTCCTCAGGACAGCATGAACTTCCGCTGAGAGCTCTTTGTATTCTGAAAACTGGTCTTGGAACACAGCTTTATAGCGTTCTCGTTCATCATCTGTCTGAATCACGGGGTATTTTCTGAGAACAAATTTTTTTAAATGAAAAGTTACATTTTTTTCACAAAAACAGGCTAAATGGAAAAACAGCTTAGCTTATTCACTCTGACCATATTTACCTTAAATTCAACATACTCTCTCTCAGATAACAAACAACAGTTCAAATATGAAGTGTTCTAAGCAAACCTGGAGACAAAAAGGGAAACGAAAGGCCTCCAATAGAAAGTTCTCAACCCCTATCCTTCGAAGAACTATGTACTCACGCCACATAGTCAGGCATTACGATGGGCTTAGGGATGTGGCCCGAGGGGATGTGACCACTCTGTAGAAGTCCAGTCTTCATGTGTGGCTTTTCCGATTCTTTGAAGTTAACTTCTGGGTCTCTTTGTCTGTCACAGCTAGTAGACATTTCACACTATAGTTAAAGAGAAAAAGAGAGTAAGTCCCTGGATGGCATGAACAGTTAAAGAGAAAAAGAAGATCTGATCTATAAACAGAGGTGGAAAAAAGACCCTGCATTAGGGAGAGAGGAGACAGAAAAAAGTGGAAACGGCAATTAACGTTTTATTTCAGAATTACAAGTTTTAGAGTCACAAAGTTGTTCTGCATCTTTTTTTAATAGCTAAAGAGAATAATGTTTGGAATATGGAAATACATACTCAGAAAGTCAGGGATAAACATGCTACCAAAAAAAAGAAAGAAAAAACCCACCGCTGTTGAGCTGATTCTGACTCATAGCTACCCCCACTGGGTTTCCAAGGCTGTAAATCTTTACGGTAGTAGGTTGCCTCATCTTCCTCCCACAGAGCACCTGGTGGGTTTGAACTGCCAACCTTCTGGTTAGCAGCCAAACGCCTTACACACTGTGCCACCAGAGCTCCTTATATAAGACTACTTAAATGAAAAGAGAAAAAACGAGATACCAGGAACCTGATATGAATCAATTGTAAGTTGCTACTGAGTAGGTGGCAGGGAAATGAGTAATACTGTTTTCATTAGCTGACAAGGGAAGCATGCAAACTCACTTTCAGAAAGAAACCCTTCCTGATCTTCAGTATAGTTACATCTAAGGAGGCCAGTACTGAGACCACAGAAGGCAGGCAGGGACTGTCTTTAACTTGCCAAAGTATTTTTAACCTGTGATTCCCTGGAAAGTGCTATGAGAATCCTGGCGTAGGAGGCAGTGGTTTATATCATTTTGGTTTTCAAAACACAAACTCCTAGAAGGCCTTTTTTGGGGGGGAGGAGGGAGGGATTTTATCCGAAATAGGGAAAGAAATAGAACCCAATACGAATGATACAGACAGGAACTATCAGGGAGAAGCCTTAAGGGCTAAAATAGTTTACAGATGGAAAATAGAAGGGGAAGACCCAGGGGAACCCACTCCAGAAGAGCAGGCAAAGACAGATGCAGAGCCTTGGAACTGGAAGACTGTCCATTGGGCAGTGCTTAGAATACGAACTTAGCTGATGAGGCTGATGAATACTAGGAGAGGTTTTCCATTTTATACAAGAAGTGAGGTTCAGAGAAGTTAAGTAAATTCTCCAATGTCACACAGCAACAAAGTGGAAAAGCCACAAATAAAAGCCAGAGCTACATGCTCAACGATACTTAAAGTGAGTAACATGAGGAAACCTGTTCACTTAAATTGTTCATGTCCCACAGTTCCAAGATGTTCTTGTAGCGCACAAGAAATAAGTCTGTGATTGACAGGGCAGGCAATGACATACTGCTAGAGGAGGGTAAGACAGTGCTGCACGCGTGAACATCGATTCCTCTTTGAAGCAGTAACTTCTCTCTACTGATTCCTTGACTATCCAGGAAATGCTGGTTGAATTACATTTGCTTAACTTAACTCAGAAAAGGAAGGTTGGGCAATCCTACTTCCGTAGTGATACTGCCTCGGAAACCCAAGAAGGGCTCGATATGAGTCTGCGGCACATAACAACAACAACAACAACAACTTAATTCAGAGTGGCTTGAGGGAGGGCCCTCTACTTCACTGAAAACAAAATACAAAACAGGATTTAGAAATCTGTCTTTATCTTGCCAGGCAGCTTTTGAAATGGTTTGTTTCCTGACTTCCGTGTCCCTGAGACTTGCTTTGAGGTTAGTTTTAACATTAGCTCATTCTGAAAAACCACCAGCTCTTACTTCGCCAAGTAACACACCCAGTGGATCAGACATGGAGTCTGTGAGCCAGCCCTAGGGGAAGGTTATAAAAAGGAGAAGTTCCATACCCAAGGTGCTAGATGGAGGGAAACCAGCTCACCCAGATACAGAAAGCATGTCGAGCCACTGGGCCCCAAGCAGCAAAGATGTGAGGGGGTGCAGGCCACCACCAGGAAACAAAATGTTTCCAAAAATAATTTTGTCTAATCTTATGAGATGGCTAGTTATCAGATGGTTAGAATGCCATTTCTTCATCCTGATGAATTCTTATACATGGTCGGCCCTCCCTATCCACGGGTTCCATATCCATGAATGGAAAATACTCAGAAAAAAAGAGAGAAAGGGCTCCTATAAAGCAATTAAGTGGTCAAAGCAATCCCTCAAAGGCTAAGAGGGAGCGTAAAGTGCCATTTCATTGCATTTACATTGTATCAGGTAGTATAAGTAATCGAGAGATGATTTAAAGTACACTGGAGGGTGTGCATAGGTTATATGCAAATATCATGGCATTTTATATAAGGGACTTGAGCATCCGCAGGTTTTGGTACTGGGGAGTGGGGGAGGGGTGTGTGTCCTAGAACTAATCCCCTGCAGATACTGAGGGCTGACTGTATTTAAAGGGTATTAAACATTGTTGTGTGCTGTGGGGTTGATTCTGACTCAGTGACCCCATATGACACTGCAGAACCCTATAGAGTTTCCTAGACTGTGATCTTCCCGGGGAAGATTGCTAGGTCTTTTTTCCCACGGAGTCTCTGGTTAGTCTGAACACCAACCTTGCGAATAGCAGATGGGTGCTTAGTTATTCTGCCTCCAGGGCTCCTTGTGTTAAACATTAGGAGAAACCTGCTGGTTTGACCAAATAGGTCTCTGTTTCATGGCCTCGCTCTTCAGCTTCTGAACATTTAACGGTTCTCCAGGGCTGGCTGAGGAAGCTGGGTGAGTATGCTGATCCTCTGGATCTCCGACACACAGCCCCAGGCATCAATGTCAGATTTCCAAGTCAAAGTAAGGACTTTTGCCCAGGTAACATACTGACCGAGAGGGTCCATAACTATTTTTTTTTCTAAGTATTTTTTTTCCCAAGCACAAACTACGCATTTTTCATTGCCCATTCCTCATTTTAGGATTTAGCTTTTAACATAAAAAGGGATTTTAAGAAGTCAGAGCAGTCTGTCAGTACTGTGGTAGCTTGAGTATTGCTATGATGCTGGAAGCCATGCCACCAGTACGTCAAATACTAGCAAGGTCACCACAGTAGACAGCTTTCAGTGGCGCTTCCAGGCTAAGACAGATTAGGAAGGAAGGCCTGGCCATCTACTTTTGAAAATGAGCCAGTGAAAATTCGACAGATGACAACAGAATCCTGTCTGATACAATGATGGACCCGAGCATATCCTCAATCTCGAGGATGGCACAGGATGGCAATGTTTCATTCTGTTATACCCGAGGGGCCAATATGCCTCAAGCTGACTTGACAGTCACCAACAAGTCAGAAATAGTCCCATACAGAGGATCTCATCTGCTTTACATTTTAAAAAAATAATTTATGTTCTTAACATTTTCCTCTACTCTTTTTTGAGTGATCCCTACTGGTCTTCAGTTTGGAAAACCATATGGGGAAAAACTCTGAAGCTAAATATGAGACAAAGAATGAAAACCTCTTTAGGCTTTCATGGGAAGGATGTGTTGGGGTCCAGCCCTGGGACACAGCACTCAAACCTAAACAAGGCCATGATCACAACCACATCAAAGGAGAGCAGGGAAAGGGCTGAGAGGCCCACCTTTAACAGGACCTTTCTCTGCTTCCAGTCTTGTTAGCAAATACCAGAAATGCTTTATTGCGATGCAATAAAAAGCAACTAAGCTACAGGATAGCTGTAATATTATCAATATGATACTAAACTTTTCAAATTAAAAATAAGCTGAATAAACAAACACCCTGTCATGTTAAAAAACAGGGGGAAAAAAAAAAAAAAAAGACAGGGGGAAGAGCCAGATAGTGTTTCACTGTGCAGTTGTCCTATTTCAGATTCTCTCTCCTTTCAGGTGTATAATGCATGGGCCTCTGATCTCAAGCCTATACCATTGCCTTTGACGCCAAGATTAGATTCTACCTTGGAAAAGAAACCTGCTCAGCCCTTAGGGATTTAATAGAATTTGTTACTATCTCCATTCAATCTTACTTTATCTCTGTATATTATCCTTTTAAAAATGATCTTCTCTGCTTTTTAAAAATTTATTCTTTAAAATACAAAATAAGAGATAGTCCCAAACAAACAAACAAACAAACAAAATGAGATAGTCCCAAACAATGGAAAGAAAATTGAAGTTCAGAGGGGGTAAGTAATTTCCCTAAGATGACAGAGCTAGTAAGTATTATTGTTGTTATCTGCCCTCGAGTCGGACCACACTCATAGCGACCCCTCCTTGGGTTTCCTAGGCAGTATCACTATGGAAGTAGATTGCTAGTAAGTAGCCGATGTAATACTCAAATCCAGAAGTGTCTGATTTTGAGGACATCAAGCGCAATTGGCATAACACACTACACAAAACATTGTTCCACTTCCTACTCTGGCAAGTAGCAACTGGGATCTTAAAAGCTTGCAAGCTGCCATCTAGATCCAACAATGGGTCTCTTCTTGTCCAGAACCAAGAAGAATGAAGAAAACCAAAAATTCATGGAAACAATTAGTCCTAGCAACTGGTACATCATCTGATCTGTAGCCTATACAACTATGAGACCAGAAGAACTAGATGGTGCCCGGCTACTACCGTCAACCACTTGGAAGAGGATCCATGTACGAGATTCTGAATAGAGAGGGTGAACAATGTGGAACAAAACTCAAAACATTTGGAGAAAAAAAAAAGGGGGGGGGGGGAACCAGGTTTGCTGGTCCAATAGAGCCTGGTGGAACCACTGAGACTATGGCCCCTAGCTGCCCTTCAGGTCTGGAATTGACCGCATGCCTGTGGCTGCCAGCCAAACAATAGACAGGCATATGAATTGAACATTTACCTCAGGTAGATACATTCCTTGGAGAGAACAAGCATGGGAGAAAGGACTGCTTATGCACAGGGAGACAGCTTAGGGGGCAGGAGTGATGGAGGGATGGACACAGGGAAGAGGTAACTATCGGGAGGAAGTAGGAGGGGAGATGTTGCATTGAGGTAAATTGTGGTCAATGTCATGAGACAAAGTGTATGTGAACTGCTGTATGGAAAGTGTATTTGCTCTGTAA